CTTCTGGCTGCCGCCCGCCGCAGAGGCAGCCCTTCTTCTTCGCCTGCTCCGCAAGGCAGCTGGCCCAAGCATCGAATCGATAATTCGAATCGGATCGACCGGAAGATCGAATCGGCAGAAATCGACAGAAGTTGGCAACGAAATCGAAATCGACAGAAGTCGGCAAGGCCGAGTCGGATCGAATCGGAAACCGGATCACGGCAAGCCGGATCGGAATCGAAATCGGAAGGCCGGGAGGGCAAAGGAGGAAGTAGGGGTGATTGGCCCTCCCATCCACCCCTCCTTCTCCCGACTGTTGTCGTCGCGCGTCGTAGACGTAGTCGTAAGTCGCCGTACGCGCGTCGTTGCATACAGGCCTTGGGCCCCCCCTCGGGCCCCCGACCCTCCACGGACCCACTGGGGGCCCCTCCGACACTCCACGGACGCACAGTCCCCTCCCCCACAGGCCCCCTCCCCCAGTCGCCCCCACTGTCCCCCCCCCACTGTCCCCTCCCACTGTCCCCCCCACTGTCCCCCCCTGTGTCCCCTCCCGGTCGCCCCCACTGTGCCCTCCCACTGTCTCCCCCCACTGTTCCCTCCCAGTGTTCCCGCCCACGGTACCCCCCACTCTCCCCCCCACTGTCCCCCCCCACTGTCCCCTCTACTGTCCCCTCCGTCCCCCCTGTCCCCTCCCAGTCGCCCCCACTGTCCCCTGTCTCCCCCCCACTGTTCCCTCCCAATGTTCCCGCCCACGGTACCCCCCATCTCCCCCCCCACTGTCCCCCCCCACTGTCCCTCCCTGTTCCCCGCTGTCCCACTGTCCCCTCCCCAGTCCCCTCCACAGTGCACAGTGCCCTCCTCTACAGTCCCTCCCCAATCCCCGCCCCCATAGTCCCCTCCCCCTCCCCCCTCTACTCCCTCTCTTCTCTTCTCCTTCCTCCTCTCCTCCTCCTCTTTTTCTCCTCCTCCTCCTCCTCCTCCTCCTCCTCCTCCTCCTCATCTCTTCCCCCTCCTCCTCCTCCTCCTCCTCCTCCTCCTCCTCCTCCTCCTCCTCCTCCTCCCCAGCCTTTTCGTAACCATCCAAGAGCCGGAGCGAAGCCAGATCGGCAGGAAATCGGCCGAAGCCGGCTGCCACATCGAATCGGCAAGAGTCAGATCGGGCGAAGTCGAAATCGGAATCGCACATCGGAATCTCCGGATCAAATCGGTTCGACAGCAGCCGGGAAAATCGGTTCGATTCGAGCCAGAGGAGTCGGGAAGACCTCTGGGAAGGGGGCAGCCGTACCCCGCCGCCCCGCGTGAAGGATTGTGCTGCGTCTTCGGGAGCCTCCCTCCTCCCTCCTCCTCCTCCTCCTCCTCCTCCTCCTCCTCCTCCTCCTCCGCTTCCTTCTCTTGCTCCTCCTCCTCCTTCTCTTGCTCCTCCTCCTCCTCCTCCTCCTCCTCCTCCTCCTCCTCCTCCTTCTCCTACTCCTCCCTCCTCCCTCCTCTGTGTCCGTCCCGTCGGTCCCCGATCCGCGTCGAATCCGTGTCGAATTCATGACGTTCTCGTCGGATCCGCGTCGAATCCCCGCCAAAGCCGCATGGAGCCCACGTCGGGCTTAGGAAAGGACACCAACATGGGGGACGGACGAGGTCCCCCGAAGATGCAGCGCACGGGGGGAGGGAAGAATCCCCACGAAGGCCCACGAACTCGAAACGTCGGTCTCCTCGACCGACCATCGGCGGCATATGCGAAAGAGGGCCTGGGGCGTCGGGAAGGCCACGGCTGGCCGGGGGAGGAAGGGGGTGGCACGATGTGGACGAGGAGCGTACCGCCCATCAGAGGCGGCGGGTAATCCAGCAAATCCGTCGTATCCTTTCGGCGATCGTCTGGTTCGGCTAGGCGGTGCGCGGTGCTTGTCACGACCTACTGCTGTAGAGCTCCAGACATCAAGAGGGGGCGCCGATTCCCCTCTCCACTGCTATGCAGACCTCTCGCACGCACTCAAGCAACACAGCAAACAAATAGCAAGGGCGCCGACGAGGGAGGAGGACAGGAGGATGAGGATGATGAGGAGCGGGGGATGAGGAGGGGGTGGGGATGAAAGAGGTGGCGGGATGAGGACGAGGGTTAGGTCGGGCGTGTCCCCCTACAGGCGGACTTTGGACGAAAAGTAAACAATGCCCCCAAATACTTCAGAATGATCAGCAAAATCGTCCCCAGTCTATTTTGCTACTATTTTTGAATTTCCCTCCTGTAGAGGGACAGGCCCGACTTACGACGAGGGGTGGGGCGCCAGCACGTCGGCCCGTCCACCGTTGGCTGCGCCACGTGGTCGGTCCTGGCGCGGGCCTAATTACTGGGCCGCGCAGCAGGGCCACCGCGCGCCGCCACCTTTTGGGCCTCCAGAGTTCGCGTGGCAGCGCGCCGCGCGGCGACCGCGAAATCCCCGACGACCTCACCGCGCGGTCCGTCGCCGCACGGCCTTGGGACCTCGGAGGCCCCAATTGCCCGAAACATCTCTGGAGAACGAGTCGAGTTCCGAGACCGCGCGGTGACCCCGAATCTCTACTGATTCACCACGCGGCGTGGTCACCACGTTGTTTGGGCCCACGGTCCTCTGGAGCTGGGGGAGCCCGTCTCTCCATCCCAAAACGCCTCGAAATAGCGGCGGGGCCGTCGCAACCTCCCGTGGCCGGCCGCACTCACTTGGGCGCAACAGGGGACAAGGGCAGTGAAAAGGATAATGGGAATGGGAATGGGCTCAATGACGAAGTCATGCCGAAATAAAAATTAGAGTTTGGACTTGGGCCTAAGGCCCCTTTCAAAACGGTTCAACAACTCCCGCCGCTTCTTGGAAATATGCTGGGGATCGCAAGGCTGGGCCAACCCGCGCATAACGAGTTCCCTAAAGAACCCGCAACTCCCGCATATCCAAACTCCAGAATCCAGAGAAAAAACCATATCATGCGAGCTATGAGCGACCCCCCCCAAACATGGACTCTAAACCCCCGCGGAGGCTTGAGAACCCGTCCTGACGCCTGAAGCTCCGCGCACGGCGAGGCCAGCCAGGCCGTCCTGGCGGCCGCCGACGAAGAGCATCTACACCGCGTGCACCTCGCCCCCGCCTCGCCCAGCTGATGGACGGAGGCGAAGAGGGCGACGGCGGCGGGAGGGGGGGGGCAGGCGGGGGCAGAGCAGCAGCAGCAGCAGGAGGGCGCTCAGACGAATTTTCAGCCCGACGCACCTGGACGGAAACTTCCATCGCAGCCGACGTGGACCTCATTAACCGTCTTGGCACCAGCCTCGCCATACTCTCTGCCTCGGCCACTCGAAGTATATGGGCTTCAGCAACTCTGGAATTCTGGGCGGCGACTCTGGCGAGTTCATCGGCGGCCTCGTTACCTGCAATCATCCAGCTGGGGTAGCGACGAAACTCGCTGTCGGACGGAACGACATGCGAGGTCACTTTTAAGACCACAACCGAACCGATGCGAGCCTTCAACAGCACACCGATCTCTCTCCAAATGGACGCGAGGGCACCGTACGGCCGTTCGTCTAGCCGCTCATACCAACCCCTGGCGACCTCGTCATTGTCAGTAGTGTAAATCAAATCCCCAAGAGACAACCGAATGGCCAACTCGAGGCCTCTCAACTCCCCCCTCGGAACGGACTGGCGTCGCCCAGTGAGAGGACCGAAGACGACAGGTCCGAAAACAAAGGGAGACAGAGACAGCGCCGAGCAGATGCCAACACCGACTCTCCTCAACCTTTCATCCCCCCCCTCCTTCCCAGCAGAGGCATCGCCAAAAACGTAAAGAGGAGCCTGCTCCGTGCCCACGCCCAGGGCGCCTGGGATTAGCTCGCTGGCCATCAGGTCAGCATAAAGCCACTGCTCTTGCCCGGGCGGCGGCGGCACTGCTGTCCAGCTGGCGGGCAGAAGCCCACGATGCCAAAAGCATGCCTCGCTCTGGCCTTGGGATAAGGCCTGAGGCACAAGCTGGTCTGAGTCGGAGAAGGCGGGATGATTCGCGTTGCTGGGGCACAACCAGTGACGATGCTCGGGCGTCTCGGGCGTGGACGGACGTTTGGCGAGTTTACAGCGAGGGCACTCATTGACGGCAATCAAACCGTCCTGGAACTTCCTGCCCTCGGTCCAACATCCACCCGTAGCAATACACACCGTAACCTCCGCTAACTGCCTACCATGGTCCCCTCGAGTTGGCGAAGTAAGATACGGAAAGAAAAATGATCCACTCCTCCTGAGATACCCGACCCGCAAAAATGCTGCTCAGCTGCAGCCCGCTGCTGCATGGCCAGGGACTCTTGGAAGTCTTCCAAGAGACCCTTGGCCTCGCCAACTGAAACTGGCGCATCTGCTGGGCAGGTCCATTGAAAGTCAAATTCGCCTGTCGAGAGCCGCGGGCCTTTCCAGTCGTTGGGTGCTGAGGGGGTCCAACCTGCAGACATCAAATGCGTCGCAACAGCCGAGATGGGACCTCGAATGTGCATCGATCGCTTATTAATGCCCGTGGCTGCCAGGTCCCTGTGGACCCCATCCCAAACACGAAAAATACCCGCATGTGATTCTGGACACCTGATCCAACAATCAAGCCAAGTCTTAATGCACGACGACGGCAGAGTGATGCCTGGGTCCCGCCCAGGTGCACGAATATCTAGGAGCGCTGTGAGGCACTCGCCCTTTCTGCCAGAGCCAGCCACTGCACCTAAACGCTGCCGAATACGCTGCAACTGCTGCCCCGTCACTCCGTAGATATCTAGACCATGCTTAGAACAAGCTTGAGGCCCAACAAGTTTAATCTTTTTTGTCGCCGTGCATCGCCGAGCCGTACGTGCAAAACGTTTAAGCTTACGATGCTGCTGCGTCCCCTTCATGACCCGCTGCCTCCTCGCCTGCCTAGCCTGCCTCTTGCCCCCCCCCCAAAAAAAAAAACAATACCCAGATAAGGAGCCTGGAGGACGGGGCTGATCTGAACTCCACGACGTTTCAACAGAGAAGCGATCTGCTTGGCAACGACGTGCAGCGGACTGAGTACGACGCTCTTGTCCGCAAGCTTGAGCTC